ATAAGGAAATAAAAGTTTCCCTTTGTTTCCCTTGTCTGTGATAGTACTTTTCATCTTTTATTAGACAGTTGTTCATGACCTTACTTCTTATGATTTCAGCAGATTCAAAAGGCATTTTGAATGCTCTTACAACCTTTGTTTGTAAGTAATCAGATTTAAAATAGGTGTGAGCTTTCTTTTGTTGTTTCTTCCATGTTTCTTCAATGTCATCAAAATCACTATCAGAACTACCAAGTACAATGGGAAGGTTGACATTATCTTTTTGTTGTTTGTTTGTTGCCTTCATTTTGAGACATAATTTTGTCTTTTTCTTCACTTGAGCCTCATCATTGTTCTTTAAAGATTTTGTTTTGGAAACACATTTCCTCTGTCTTCCTCGTACACAACCTTCTTTAGGGATATCAAATATTATCTCCTTGCATCTAGACTTAATGAAATCCTGTAATATCCGGACAAACCGATTTGGTCGTAGGTTTCTTTGGTTGTCAAGCAATATGTTCTTCACTTGGTGAAACCAGTTTTCAGCAGGGCCATTACTTAGTCTTTGTTTGATAAACCCATCCTTAGAAGCCTTTAACAGTAGTCCTGACCAAAATGGTAAGTATGGTATATATTTTTCTAACAGAACTTTTATCAAATCAGGATTGTAGTATACATTGTCTTCAAATATAGCAATATTGTCTTCATCAACTGTTGAAATACTTGTTGTTTCTTGCTGTTTAATGCTACATATATTTTCTGCATATCTTGATAGAATGGACTTTTTTTGTACATTGAATCTTACTTTTGTCAATTCATCAAACAGGACCAATGGGGCTTTGTCTAGGTCATCCTCAATTACTTCCTCTGGCAATTCATCAATGCTGTTATTACCCTCACACATTATAGAGAGTTCACTCAATGCATGTTTTAAGACTCTGCAGCTTTTTTCACATAACAAGACAGTTATCAAGTTAGTCACCATTAGCTTAATGGTATCATAATTACTGCAATTAATAATTGTACAAACTACTTGCAAGAACAGTTTTTTAATCATCAATCGCTTTGATTTGCAAGTATTTGTGGTTTTAGATTTTACGTCATTAATAACAATCTTAACAAAATGACAAACACAAAGATGGACTGTGACTTTTGGTTTTACTACTGATCTTCTCTTCATAGTTGTTTCATAACAGTACTCCAAATAACTTGTAACATGCATTTTATTCCACTGTTGCATTACTGCATTTATTATTGCCCAACTGAAGTCTGACACTACTCTTTGACATGGTGGCCAGAAACCATTATCAGACAAAAATCTCCTATACTTCAAAAGCCATACTCCTATTGAATCAGCTGTGTGGTTACATGTTATGTATTCTGAGGCTGGCAATATGAACCCTTTGGTTCTAAAAACAATGGCGTAGTACAAAACCCTCTTGTCTTGACATTGTGGAATTTTACGTACAACGGACCCAGTAACATCAATATGTAGCGTAAAATCTGACGAAGCCATTTCAGCTTTTTCCCTAGCCAACAGTTGTAGCACCTCTTTACTGTACATCATTACCTCAAATGGATGTGATACATGTTGAACATATCTATCGTCTGCTGACTTCTCCTCATATTCCCGCATCATAAACAAGTCCAACATTGGGTTTTCATGCAAGTCATCTACAGCTAACGCTTCTGATTTGGCCTTACGATATACAGAGTAAGACTTGACGGCCTGGGTATTATTCAATTTCAATCCTGCAATATCACACTGTTTTACACATTTTAATCTTGTTAGTGACGGACTGGTGTTAATTAAGTTATGCATCATTGTATCTCTAGCAATTCCACTTAGGTTTCTGGTTTTTTTTGGGGGATGGTAGCATTTAGTTGTATTACTATAAACAACCACTTTTATGTCAAGAAAACTACAACTTTGGTAAACATGTAATTTAAATGTTGTTTCATTATTGTGGCTGCAGTAGGCATAGATAGTGAGAAGCTTTTCATAGTTGCCAGTAATCTTTCTCCTTTTACTATTGTTCTTGCCTGAATAATTAACACTTTTCATTTGAATAACACAACCCTTACTTATGTTGTAGAAGTAGTCACTAATTATTGTTGGATAAACAGAAGTTATCAATTTCCCGTTCTCATTTATCATTTCATACCATTTTGAAGGTTCTATGGAAAATTCGCCAATATTACCATCACATTTGTACTGTCGTTTACAAGGTCCTTTTTTTTGTTTTTCTTCAACTGGGGCAACCACAGGAAATTCCATTGTTACGCCGTTACTGTCAACAGTTAAAGGTATTTTTCCTTTATCTGCATTGTCATCGTAAACTTGCAATTCAGTTGGCAATTCATCATCACTTGGCAATTGAGCGTCAGTTGGTATTGTGTTACATGTACTAATATTTAAACTCTTGTCAGCAGATAATTCATTCACATTGTAATTATTGTCCACAGTACTGCCTCTACCAGATTCATTATTAACTACAATTTTTTTGTGATTCACCAAGGTGTTAACGTCTGAGGTGAAATGTGATTTTAAAATAAGTTTCTTTTGAGGTGTTTTGAGGTATTTACAGACTAATCTTTGAACATACCAATGCTAATTAGTTTCGAATTATTTGCTATGTCAATAACATGTTTAGTAGACGAGTAGAGTAGACAACAGAAAGACTAACCTACTAAATAAAATACTTGAAGTAGTCTATTACATTAATATAATTATTCAGCAAAATATTAATTTATTTCAATGTTATTAAAACAGAGTTGTAATGATTGATACACGGTTAATGTGTCCTCTATCAGGTGACGCTCTGTAATGACCTATAATGTACCGGTATGGATCATAAACATAAACAAATTACGTCGCTGGCCCGAATCCTATACTAATAGCATTGAACATATGTTTTGGCAGTTCAATTTAAGCAATGTTAAATAATGTTTATTTTCGGGCCAAAAACGTCATTTGTTTATGTTTATGATCCATACTGGTATTTTTCTAGTAATCGTGGTTGATACTGTCGCGTATCAACACGACAGGGCGCGTGCACTACTTATTGCTGATTTTACCCCCCTTAACTTATCCCCCAGGTACATCATGTTGATACTGTCGTGTCCGTTAAAGTGTCCTCTATCTGTTGGCATCTTCGTTAATATTGCTCGCGGACGTATTTTTCCGCAATACGGCCAGCAATAGATTTTATCGGGCGCACGCACTACTTACTGCTGATTTTACCCCCCCTAACTTATCCCCCAGGTACATGATATTGATACTGTCGTGTCCGTTAAAGTGTCCTCTATCTGTTGGCATAATCGGTAATATGCATCGCGGACGTATTTTGCCGCAATACGGCCAGCAATAGATTTTTTGTAGCGCGCGCACTACTTTTTGCCGATTTTACCCCCCTTATCCTACTCCCCAGGTACATAATGTTGATACTGTCGTGTCCGTCAAAGTGTCCTCTATCTGTTGGCATCATCGGTAATATGCATCGCGGACGTATTTTGCCGCAAAACGGCCAGCAATAGATTTTTTGCGGCGCGCGCACTACTTTTTGCCTGTTTTACCCCCCTTATACTACTCCCCAGGTACATAATGTTGATACTGTCGTGTCCGTTAAAGTGTCCTCTATCTGTTGGCATAATCGGTAATATGCATCGCGGACGTATTTTGCCGCAAAACGGCCAGCAATAGATTTTTTGTGGCGCGCGCACTACTTATTGCTCATTTTAACCCCCTTAACCTACTCCCCAGGTACATAATGTTGATACTGTCGTGTCCGTTAAAGTGTCCTCTATCTGTTGGCATCATCGGTAATATGCATCGCGGACGTATTTTGCCGCAAAGCGGCCAGCAATAGATTTTTTCGGGCGCGCGCACTACTTATTGCTTATTTTAACCCCCTTAACCTACTCCCCAGGTACATAATGTTGATACTGTCGTGTCCGTTAATGTGTCCTCTATCTGTTGGCATCATCGGTAATATGCATTGCGGACATATTTTGCCGCAAAGCGGCCAGCAATAGATTTTTTGCGGCGCGCGCACTACTTTTTGCCGGTTTTACCCCCCTTATCCTACTCCCCAGGTACATAATGTTGATACTGTCGTGTCCGTTAAAGTGTCCTCTATCTGTTGGCATAATCGGTAATATGCATCGCGGACGTATTTTGCCGCAAAACGGCCAGCAATAGATTTTTTGTGGCGCGCGCACTACTTTTTGCCGATTTTACCCCCCTTATCCTACTCCCCAGGTACATAATGTTGATACTGTCGTGTCCGTTAAAGTGTCCTCTATCTGTTGGCATCATCGGTAATATGCATCGCGGACGTATTTTGCCGCAAAGCGGCCAGCAATAGATTTTTTGCGGCGCGCGCACTACTTTTTGCCGGTTTTACCCCCCTTATCCTACTCCCCAGGTACATAATGTTGATACTGTCGTGTCCGTTAAAGTGTCCTCTATCTGTTGGCATAATCGGTAATATGCATCGCGGACGTATTTTGCCGCAAAGCGGCCAGCAATAGATTTTTTCGGGCGTGCGCACTACTTATTGCTCATTTTAACCCCCTTAACCTACTCCCCAGGTACATAATGTTGATACTGTCGTGTCCGTTAAAGTGTCCTCTATCTGTTGGCATAATCGGTAATATGCATCGCGGACGTATTTTGCCGCAAAACGGCCAGCAATAGATTTTTTGTGGCGCGCGCACTACTTTTTGCCGATTTTACCCCCCTTATCCTACTCCCCAGGTACATAATGTTGATACTGTCGTGTCCGTTAAAGTGTCCTCTATCTGTTGGCATAATCGGTAATATGCATCGCGGACGTATATTTCTGCAAAACGGCCAGCAATAGATTTTTTGTGGCGCGCGCACTACTTATTGCCAAGTTATTGCCAGGTTCACACCAATAGGCCTATACAGCCTAATAAATGTTAAAAGACTAATGAGCAATAATAGGCCTAGTAACTTACGTTAAATTTATTCTAATATCAACTCTGTTGTAGCTTACCTAACAATCTATGGGGCCATGGTCACTCTTGTGCAATCAATCCGGTTAGCCTATTACCAAAAACGACACTTTTATGTAACCTTAAAAGATTGAAGACCTATAAAAAAATGTTTATTTCATTACAAGTTTAAAGGCTTTATTAAGCAGATTATTTTTTATTAGGCCAAATTACAGTTTGCCACTCGTCGAATTTCTTTGAAACAAAAGAATAATCAATTGTTTTGACAGAGCGACAGTATGATGATAACTGATAACCAACCTCAACCTCACTCAACGACTCAACCCAACCTTGACTTGCTTCTTGCTTGACTCCAATGAATGACTTCGACTTGACACTTCCACTTCCTTAATCCTTATTATAGCTCGGCATTGGCTATTCGCACGTCTGCTCCAAATGACGTCACATTACGTTCCTAATCTAGTAGCTGTTATAGCTGTTTGGGAACAGGTTGGACACAAATATATCCTAGTATTAGGAACGGTAACGGTGGTAGTACCAGTACCTCGCTCATATTAGCCGAAATCGAAATGGATGGGATAAACCACAGCTTCGTAAAGAGAAAGGTAAAAGAGTTGAACAGAGCCAGAGAGGTTATAAGCAGTGGAAAATATAGGTGCTGGCCAATAATAAAACGTGTATTAGAAATACACATTAGAAGATTCAATATAGGAATCGTAAAAAAACTTTAAGCCTAGGCCAGGCCTGATGTTAGCCTACTTTACCTTTACCATATCAAAGGCTAGGCCTATAAAAGGTAGGGCCTAATATTGGTAGGCCTATGTTGGCCTAGATAGCCCAGAAGTAGGCTAGGCATTAGGATAAAATATTAGTAAATCACCAGGCTGTCATCGGCTTAAAGCTTAACATTTTACAGTGTTAGATGTAAGAGCTTACAAGTAAAATCTTAATTGGCCTACTTAAAATCTTATAATTTTTTATTTGGCCGCTTTCCCGAGCTTGTACTTTCCATGTACCACTGTGTATGCATCTGTAAGTCAATTAAGAGACGGTAACCATCCCGTCGCCGGTGAATAATGTTTCAAATTATCATTTGTGTGTGTATGTTTTTTTTTACTTGTAACACCTTTCTTTCTGGCTCCATCAATTATTGTTCTTGAACGTTTCAATTCAAGGCTTCTTAAAACTTAGAAGTACAGTAACTGAAACTGAACGTTCTGAAAGTTCCCGTTGCATTATTTTGTAATACTGGAACTGTAACAGAAAACTGGAACGGGAACGGGCTGTGGAGCATTTTGACGTGCGAATAGTCACTTCGTTATAGGCAAGTGCTTGACACTTGACAGACAACAAATTCAGCTGATTTGATTTCTGAAACACATGTTATCTCGTAACATATTAATCTTGTTATGTATAATCAGAGAGCACAGAATAGAAATTTATATTCTGTGCTCGCTCGCTGTGTAATCTCGTAACCTGTATCATAGACTAACCAACACGTTTTATCTATGCCTGTATGCCTGTATTCTTGTAACTTATAATCATAATCTCGTAACGTCATACAATTCTTTAAAGTCTTTTTGCTTTTAATCTCGTATAGTGTTAAATTGTAGCCCATAATCTCATAATATACAATCTCGTAGTAAATAATCTCTTAATGTATAATTTCATTCAGAAATCACCCCATTTCACAGCCAACTTTCCTAATTTACTAAATTGGATTGGAGTTTTGGCGTCATATGGTACGTTTTATTAATGGCGAGTGCAAAGGAAAATGAGCATAGTTTTTTTTACTAGCCAAACAAATCAAATCAAATATTCCTTTATTGTCAGTTAACATATATGTTGCATGGCTTGCGTCACACAACAAACTCAATTATGAGCCATTCCACCTCTAGTAGGCTACAAGACCTCGGGGCGTGTGACAGCGTCGCAACGGCATGCCTATATTGTAATGTAACAAGGCATAAGACATATTGATCTTTAGGCAATTCAATCGATCTGGTCATGGAAACTTGAAATTTACAAGTCAGTCATACAACAGTAAAACATGCTACACTAAAGCTAAATAAGGGTTCATTCTACAAAGCTATAAATAAGAGTAGCTATTTTTGAAAAATATCATGACAAATTATTAATTAGAGCTAAAGTCTGCTCCAAAAAATTCTTTAAGGTTGTAAGAGGGCCTTAATCAACCATGCATAGATCACATTTTTAAAACTATCTAGGCTAGAAAAAAACGACACATCTGAGCTGACAAAGAGGAAAGCAAATTGAAAAGGACCTTTAGCTTCGTGTTAGAAACTTGGTCGCAGTCTTGTGAGGGTCTACAGATTTTGTTTTAACCTCGTGTCACATGGTTGTGTACGTTTCTGTAAAGAATGAGAGTGTTTAAGTGTTTTAGCGAATTTCCCATATAGGGAATAAGCTATTACCGTAGTACTCATGGTAAGACCTGGACCCGGGACCGTTTTATTTTTCGTTTTGAGGTCCCTAGAGGCCAAAAACACCATCCATTCAAATTCATATATATACATGTATATATATATATATATATGTGTGTGTGTCCGTTAGCGCGATAACTCGAGCAAAAATGATCCGATTTTGATGAAATTTGGTACAAACGTGTAAACCTACGTTTATTCGAACGAGTTCGCGAACCAGCATGATCGGACCACGGGAACGGGGGTTTATGGGGGCTTCTATGGGGTAAAAATGGGTTTTCCCATTTTTGACCCAAAAAACATAAAATTTTGCAATTTCTTTCCAAACTATTTCGTAGAGCTTAAAAAACAAATAATTTAGTATATTGAAGCATTATAATGCGCCTAATGGTTACAGAGGAAATTCCAAAAAATTGTAAATTTAAAATTCCCATGTTATTCTTATGGAGAATAAGTAAACTGTTGTAGTTTGCTTGTTTATTAACACATTTTGCCCAAATTTTGAAAATGTTTTTATGTCAACGATACTAACTATTAACTACTAACTATTAAGATTTTACATAAAAAAACCTTTTACCCTCCCTGTTGCAGCAAACCAATGTTTTAAACTGATTCTATTTAAATAGGGAATAAATGTGATATTTTTAAGGAGACATTTTAGTGTAAATCCATTCAGGGAAATGGAAATTCGCTTAGTCTGCAGGTTTGCTGCGGCGGGGGTATTTTTTTATGTAAGAGGCATGCAAAATGTACATATTGATTACTGTTTAAATTTCCCTTTAGAAATAGGTTTGCAGTGTGTTTGTGTCAGTGTGTTGGTGATGATTCTCGACATCTTCTTCTGGGCTACTAGATGAAGTAATATAATGTTTGTTAAAAATTAGCCTCAACAACTAATATTTAATACAGACCAAAAATAAACAATGAAAAATGTAAACTGTTTACCAAACTAGACTGTTTAATAATTTTGTCATTGTGGTACTTTGAAAAATAGATGTTAAGCAGTAGCACACTGTAACGATTTTAAAATTTGAACCCCCCCCCCACATCACAAATACAAACCCGAACCTCTCTTTCTCGCCTCGGTTACTTAATATATAACTGACTAGTGCACCTGTTGCTCGAAATCGAGCAATTGCAAATTATTACAGGCAAAACGAATAACAGTCATAATTTAGACAATGTAATCAAGCACTCCATTCCAGTTATCGAAACTCTTAAAACGAGCTCACTCTGAAAACATACGCCCTTGTGTGTTATGTGTTTACTATGAACAGATGTAATAAATCTATATAATTAATACGCTACATGAAACTTTGTCGGTTGAACTCCTCCGCCATTTCTTAACCGATTTTATCCATTGACGTCTCATTGGAAAGAGCGTGTCGCGTAGATTTGCAAACTGGCCTTACATTTTTTAAAAAGTCCCTTGGGCTCTGCCCCAGTGGCTTTGAAAGTTACCATGTTATCCTTATGAAGAACATAATTGTTTACATTTTGATCAGCTGTATAATTTAATTGCTGTTGTTTATTTTTCAAACGCATTTTGAGTACATTTATTTACTATTTGAGTTTGTGTAAACATAACCCCCAAGACGGATGTGTTAGTATGGTTGTATCTTATGTATTTATCGTTGTTTTGTGTCGCTATGACGGATCGTGTTAGCATGATTGTAACTTAAATTTGTGCATTTATTGTTGTTTTGATATTATTTGCTTATTTTTTGTTTTTTTTTCTTTTAAATGCCTCCGACATGACGACAAATAAACATAGACAGGTCGGAGGCGGAGGCGTAATCGTGATAACGACGACAGCTACAGAAAAGTGGCGTGCCCTGGACAATCTCAACTACCGGTACTGTATTAGGTTACAAATGCGCCCTAACACAACCCCAAAACGACTTTTCGTTCTCAATTGGCCCTCTATCAATGACCTGTGTTGCCTGTACAGCAAGGCATTTTGAGAAGGAGAAAACCAGCCGGAATTCATTAGGTTTATCAATAACGAAGATTATCATGGTCTGAGTTACACACCGGTAATCATTGAGTTGACTCTTTAAAACAATGACTGTTATTCATCGTTTTGAAATAACTCATGTAATAGGCCTACTTTGCAATTGCTCGAATTCGAGCAACATCTACACTAGTACAAATTATTCGTTTGTTTCAGTAAACAAAATCTTTTCTTCATTAGAAATACATTGGGATTTTGATGGCCTCTGGGGCAAAGCCCGGGGACTTTTATTACAGGAATTGGTGAAAGGGGGCGTCTACACAAAAAATACTTCATTTTGACACATCAGTTGTAAAAATCCGTCCATTATTAACGGAGGAGTAGTGTTTCGTAGAAATTACCTTCACGTATTATATCACAGCCACCTCTAATGTATTAGAGGTGGCTATGAATATATATAAGGATTATACATCTCTAGGGAGAAACATAATCAATGGTCCTCCTAGATCAAAATGCAAAGACAAGCTGGCAGGCAACACTTTTTGCGTTTTGTTTGACTGTCCCTCTCGCACGCGAGCGTTTCAGGGCAGGAATTGGACTAGCCTACTGCGCATGCGCAAACCGTAAAATTGAGCTGATCTCAAAAGAACGACTCTCACACAATTTAAGCAAAAGAGCTGTTTACTGTTCTTCTGTCGTTCTGTCATCTGTCTGCCCCTGCCGTGCCCCATAGCGATTAGCGATTGTTTTTTTTTAGCGAATTTCCCATATAGGGAATAAGTTATTACCGTAGGTCTCATGGTAAGACCTAGACCCGGGACCGATTTACTTTTTCGTTTTGAGGTCCCCAGAGACCAAAAACACCATCCGTTCAAATTCATATATATATATAT